CAGCTCGGCGACCTGTTCGCCGACGCCGTCCTGGTAGATGCGGGTGCGGAGGTAGGATTTCGGGGCGCGGATGGCGGTGCTGAAGTCGAGTTGTTTGAGGGTGCTGGATTTCGGGGCCTTGCGCATCTCGGCCGCGTTGAGGACCTCGAGGAGGGCGGGCGCCAGGGGGACGTAGGTGCCTGTGGCGCGGGAGAGGCGGAGGAGGGCGCGGGTGAGCTGGAAGCGGAGCGGGAAGTAGGTTGCGGTGGGGATGAGGCGCATCGCGCCGAGGGTAATCTGGACGACGGGGTAGATGAGGGGCCGCAGGGCGGATTGCTTGCCGGCTTTGGCTTCGACGAGGCCGTCGCAGTGCTGGGAGAGGACGCGCGACCAGAAGTCCAGCGAGTGCGTGTACTGCCAGTTGTAGATGGTCTTGTAGGATTCCTTGGAGGTGTTGGTGATGCTGCTGCGGAGGTGCATGGCGAGTTGCCGGATGAAGCTGAAGCCCGTCGTGTACGAGATGTTCTGGTCGATACCCCAGAGCTCGGCTGCCGAGTTCTTCATCAGGTTGACTCCAGAGAGCGTGTGGACGGTAGTGTTCCGGCTGCCCTTGACCACTCCTTCATACGAGGCCTTGAGGACCGTCTCCTTGAGCCCGGAGTCGCCAATGACCATGAGTTTGCGAAGTAGCAGGAAGCCCGTGATCCGGGTTGCCTCCGTCGTCGACACATCAGCCCAGATGCCGACAATAGTCTTGATGAGAACTTTCAGGAGCTTTCTGAACTGGAGTAGATAGGGGAGCATCGGTTCGATGGACGAAAGGGTCAATTTGAGCGTCGATGCATCGGAAAGATTGACAAGCAACTGAAGAACTGAGGATGTGTGCGACTTGATGAGCGGTGTGAGGGTCTTGAATTTCTTCGAATCCAGAGACACCTTGACCTTTCCGGAGGCCGTCTCCTTCACTGGAAGATGATGCGCCAGCACCTTCGGCACAGTACCAAGTGCCGTCACAAGAACCTGATGGTATACATCGGGGTCCGAGATTGAGTACTTCTGCTCTTGAGTTTGCGCCTCGTTGATGTATGCTGCGCAGCGGAAAGCGAGCACGGCTTGCCGCATGGCGCGAATCGAGTTCTGTTCCTCCATCAATTTCTGCCACTTCTTGACCATCGCGATCGTGAGCGTGTTGTCCGCAGCTTCCTCGTCCTCATCCTTGGCCGCCTTCTTCTTCTTCTTCTTCTTTGCGGGCCCTTCTTCCTCCTCATCCTCACTCAGCTCGAGGACCTCAGTGAGATCTCCGTGCTCGCCAAAGTCGAGCAGCTCCGCATCGTTCTCTTTCAGATACTTGTAGAATTCGGGATCCTTGTCCTTCAATGCTTGAAGCTGGTCCTTGTGCGCCTCGAAATCATCGGGTGCGCTGCTGGCCTGAGATTCCGCATCATCGTCGGATACGCCACCGTCTTCCTCGCCATCACTTGAGGCTGCAGATGAGACTTCCTCATCCTCTCCCTTCTGTTCTTCTGACCGCTTCCGTTTGCCAATCTTGGGGGTAACATCCTTCCTCCGGCCCTTCTTGCCCTTGTCTGTATCGGCGTCGGCAATCTCGAATCCGCCCGCGAAAAAATCGTCGACGTTCATCTCCGCAAAAGCATTCTGCTTCTTACGTTCCTCAGGACTCTCCTCCTCAGCATCTCCATTCTCAGGTCGCGCCCGAGCATTGTCAGCCTTGCGTTTCTCTTTGAGATGCATGCGCTGCTTAACCTTCGCGTTCGCCTTGCGCCGTTCGAGTACATCTTTCAGATGCTTTTTCTCGAATTTCTTCGTGGACTTCTTCTGACTTCCGGCCATCTTGCCGTATATTCTCCAATCCTATCGAGGATGGAGTCGAAGTCTGGAAATAGATGGTTGGACTATTCGAAAAGCCAAGCGTGGAGAGAAAGCAAGAGGAAAAAAAAATTCCTGTCGGGGCAGAATCCACGCCGACCGCCCAATCGGGTGACCGCCTTTCCCCTCCTCCAGCCATCCAGCTATCACCATCAGGATAGTGAGCTGGAAAGTAACATATCATGTATGCTCAACGACCTCTTTCGTATGCACCTACACCTTACAGCTACACGCCTAATCCGGCGCTGTCGGCAACTATCAATCTCGATGAGGTACTCCCGTTCAATTTGACCGCGTGCTGAGCTCCTGGCTAACTTCGCTCATGGCAGGAAGTGAAACTAACCTCCAGCTCCGCGGAGCGCGATCTACACGAATCGCTAGCCGAGATTTACAGTATCATTGTCACTCTTGATGGACTCGAGAAGGCATATATCAAGGATGTGGTTACAGAGGCGGAATACACCGAGACATGTACCCGGCTACTAAAGCAGTACAAGTCCAGTTTGGGCGATGAGGCCGTCGCAGCGGAGTTTGTTGATCTGGAAACCTTCAAGCGGACATGGGGGGTGAGCGCGCACTTTCTCTATAATCATGTACAGGTTGCTGACCATCCTGGCAGCTAGAATGCCCCCGCGCGACTGAGCGTCTCCGTATCGGCCTTCCCGCAACAGTCGAGCAAGCCTCCCACGGCGCGCCTTCAGCCAACGCAGGTCCAACCAGCGGAGGTCCTGTTGGCGGCGCTTCAGGTAGCCTCATTCTGACGGCTACTGAGAACTTTATTACCTTCCTGGACGCTCTGAAGCTGAACATGGTGTCCAAAGATGCGCTTCACCCGCTACTGTCGGAAGTCATTCAATCCGTAAACAAAGTGACGGATGGGGACTTTGAGAACCGCGGCAAAATCATTCAGTGGCTGATCACATTGAATCAGATGCGCGCAACAGAGGAGCTAAGCGAGGAACGGGCGCGGGAGTTAGCCTTTGACATTGAGCAGGCTTATCAGGGATTCAAGTCGACGTTGGGCTGATGGTAGAAACTATTGCATTTCTTAGTCTTGTTGTTTGTTATCGTGAGCGATAGGCGTCTGGAGTATCTGCTGACACAGCCTCATGGTTGTGGGAATTGCAATTGATATGGCAATCTATGAGTCCAATCGTTTTTCTCGCTTTTATCTCGTGTCTGAGTAGTCTCTTCGGGTGGTTTCTGGGTCGGAGCGGAGCCCGAATCCGCGGGACTACAGACGCCAACCTTTCCTATTCGGGTAATCTCGACTTTTTTTTTTTTCTGTGCCTGGATCGCGACATCGCCAACTCCTCTTCGCCGCGAAAGTGCCGATTATAAGACCAAATTATGCACGCCGCTGTCTTGTAGTCTATTTCTCACTAATCGAGTTGCTAATCCTACCAGACCACTGCCATCATGATCAGTGCCGATCTCGACGAGCCTCTCCATGGTACGTCTGCCTGCCCATGATAGACATGCGATATCGGGGCTGATAAGCCTCTATCACAGTGCTCGACCTTCCCCAGATCTATAGCAAACCCTCCGGCACCGATCTTCTCCGAGCTCTTGACCTTCTCGCAGTCAAACCACGCAGTTTCAGCACCAGTGCCGGCCAAGAAGCGGTGAAGAGCAGAACAGTCGAACCAACCGGAGTAACCCGCTATCTGACGTCCATCATCTCGAGCTCCCTTTCATGGCTAGACACTGATGAACTGCGGGAGGCCATTTGGGACACTGCTGCCGCTCGGTTGAGCGAGCGAGCTGGGCGCACCGGTATGAGACGATATAATCGTAGTGATCTTTGAGGATTCTAACGCGGGGTCTTCTAAACGTAGCCATGCCAGCCATGTCCCGAGTCTTCACAATCCCTACCTCATCCGACGAGGAGCTCACACTGACACTGCACGAGCCCTCATTGACCGCTGACAACCTAGGCATGAAAACCTGGGTCTCATCGTACCTCCTCTCCCGACGCCTTCACAACATCCTCGACGTTACACCGCCGCTCGTGCCCTCGTCATCAACCACTCCCAAGTCAGACAGGACGCTCCGAGCGCTAGAGCTGGGCGCCGGGACCGGACTCGTGGGCCTCTCCTTTGCAGCTCTCCGCGGCAGTTCGGCGACTATCCATCTGACAGACCTACGGGACATCATACCAAATCTTGCTCACAACGTCTCCCTGAATGTCGAACTGCTCACAAGAACGGATGCAGCCGTCACAACGGGCGTACTGGACTGGTCTGTCGCGCCGTCACCACTCCCAACAAGGGAAGCACAGTACGATCTCATTCTGGCCGCGGATCCGCTGTACTCGCCAAAACATCCCAAATGGCTGGTTGAAACGGTCGGCCACTGGCTAAGCCGCGGGCTGGCCGCTCGTGCTGTGGTCGAGATGCCTCTGCGCGATGCATACCTACCTCAGGTGCAGGAATTCCGACAACGCATGCAACAACTCGGCTTAGCGGTGGTGGAAGAAGGCGAGGAGGTCGGGTACGACGACTGGGAAGGGGCGGACGGGGGTGCCCTTGAGGTCCGGTGCTGGTGGTCAGTCTGGGGATGGAGCGAGAAGCTCTAGCCTACCGGTTCTCATAGCGGTCTTGTGGGCCGCCTCAACGAAGTCACGACGATAGACGATAGACAACAGACGATAGATCGATGATGGAACTAGACAAAGATTAGAGATTGTTATTTTCGGCGAATCGGTCGATACTTTAATATCAGCATGCGTTGGTGTTCCCTCTGCAATTGCAAATGTCATAGATAGCATTTGGTCACTTAATCAAACTACCGAATCATAACTTTATCAGAACCCAACTATCTGTGACCAAAATGAAGGTACTCTGTTGGTTGCACCGAACAGTGGAAGCGAGAAGGTTGAAGTATGCTTGAATCACGTGCGCCTGACGTCACATTGCCACGAGGCACAAGATGCATCAGACGGCGATCTAGAATGTCTATTAACCATACAAATAAATAATCCATGCGATACCCACTGACTTGAAACCAGTCATATATTGTCAAATCTGTATACATCTTACATTCGAGCACAGTTACTTCAAATTAGCAAACGTCCATACCTCTTTATACCCTACGCCGTCTTGCAATATATCTACATCAGCCACAACAGCAAAATGGTCATCGGCCTCCTGGCAATCGCCGCAATCCCCACCGTCACCGGCGTGGCGATGGGAGTAAGCGAACAGCGCAAAGCCAACGAACGCAAAATGGACGCCAGACGGATGGCGCGATTCAACATCGACATTGAAACCTCAGGCGAAACACAGGAAGAGGACGAGATACGCGGGAAGCGGTTTGTATTGCGAGAAAACAAGGTGCGTATAATATACTATAATATAACCTAATCCATTGAGTTTGATTATGATGGAACTAATCAGACAGGTCTATCTGGATGATCCTCTCCCCGCCAATCGCAAACATCCCTCTCACACGGCCGAAGCCTTCTACATCGACTACCCCGAGCTTGAGGAGACGAAACATTTGAAAAGAGGACTTGGCCTCGTAACTACCGTCTCGGATAACCCGCCCATGCTGAATTGGATCTATGCGGATAAAGAGACGCATGAGCTGAAGTATGGGAATCGGTCGCAGAGTGTGCAGCATGTAGTCGGGCCGTGGGATTGGACGGACGAGGAGACGACCATCACGCTGGAAGGGAAGAGTGCTTTTATGGCTGTTCAGGAAGAGGATGGGAGTTGGGCGGTCTACTTTGACCGGGACGGTGATGAGTTGGAGTGGGTTCTCGAGGAGGAGAATAAGCTGGATAATCCGTTTGCGCCGATAAAGCTCAAGAGGATGATGGTCCCGCAGGTTCCTCAGGTTGAACAAAGTAATAAAAATGATAATTCGTGATCTGAATCGCTATTCTGGGGAATCGTAACTTTTATTTGTACAGGAATACATGTAGATATGAGGGGGACGGCTAAAAGTCTAGCCATCGAGGCCATCCCAGCTCTCGTTGTCGCTCCCAGCGTCCGCAGACTGCGCTTTAGACTTTCTGTTGCGGCTGGCGGCAATGAGGGCCTTCTTCTTGTTCTCCATCCGTCGGTCAAATCCGCTCTTGGTACTAATCCTTGTCTTCCGGTGCTCCTTGTCGTCTTTGACGCTCTTGAGGTTGGACTGTCGGGCCTTGACGCCATGTCTCTTCAGCTCCTTCTTATCCCTCTTGCTCAAGTCCGGCAGGGCATCCAATAACCACTTCTGAATGGATTTTTCTCCGTCCTTGCCACGCAGCTTCTCACTGACATCGATGATGTTGGCAATGCTCTTGACGTACGGGATATCCTCTTTGGTATAGTAGGTCACTGCGATGCCACCCTCGCGGCCAGCTCGGCCCGTTCGCCCAACTCGGTGAACGTAGACTGCAGCGGAGTTCGGAATGTCGTAGTTGACGACTCCGTTGATGCCCCGGAAGTCCACACCGCGCGCCAGTAGATCGGTCGTCACGAGGATCCAGATTTCACCTTTGCGGAAATTCTTCATGATCTCAGAGCGTTGACCGTCGGAAAGATCTGAGTGAAGGACTGCGATTCGTGATGAGCCGCCAGCCTCGGCGGGGATGTCATATCGTAGCTCAGAATGCAGGGCAATAGCTCTGGGGATGGTCTGAGTGAAAATCAGGAACGGTGGGCGGAGGCGGACATCAGACGCCGAGGCCGCTGCTGGATGTAGGAGTTGTCGTAGACCGAGGAGTTTCCCCTGCTCCGTTGCGGCATAGACGAGCTTATGCTCGATGTTAGGGATGGCGGAGTCCTTCAACCCGACCACAAGACGAAGCAAAGGATATGACTTTGTTTGATCATAGGCCTGTTTCCGCTCCTTGATAGTGCTCTTGGCGAGATCTTCAATGTTGGATCCCATGGTAGCTGACCACAGACTTGCTCGGAGCTCGGGGTGCGTGCAGGCGCGCCAGATGTCGAGCGTCTGATCGCGGAAGAGCTCGTCTAGCAGGACATCTGCTTCGTCAAGAACAATATTTCTAACCAGGGGTAGAGTAGTCATCGGTTTGGTTCGATTGGCTGAGAGCGCATTGACCAAAAGTAATGGAGTGGTGACGAGTATATCGCTCTTGGTAACAGGGGCTTTTCCTTTACTTTTCTTCGCAGCGGGTGCTTCGTCCTGTTCCGATTCCGAAGCTTCGTCACTATCTTCGCTGTGACTGTTCTCATCGTCGTCATCCTCGCGATCCACCACTTGCATGCCCTTTTTCATTAGTGTAATCTTCACCCCTGTCCCATGGACCAGCTTCCTTCCCTCGTTCACGATCTGGCTCGCAAGCTCTTTCGTGGGTGCAACGACGACAGAGAAGATGCCACGCTCCTCCTCTTGTTCATGGTGGTGCCGGACTATCTTGTTGATCACTGGAATCAAGAAAGACAGAGTCTTTCCACTGCCGGTTGGGGCGACAACCAATAAGTCCGGTTCAATGCTTTCAGCATCTTTTGAATTCCCGGAAGCTTTGAAACCATCCAGTAACAGTGGCAGAGTACCCAGCTGGACTTCCGTCGGAACAGTAAATCCCTGCTCGGCGACGTTCTCGGCAAGCCGGCTAGAAATCTTGTACCGGGTGCGCAACTCCTTGAACGAGACAAGCGGCTGAGGATAAACTCTGCGAGCCTTTTTCTGCTCCTTTTTAGTGAGTGTCGGCGTAGACTCCTCCTGTTGCTTCCTCTTCTTCTTTTTCTTCTTCGGTTCCTCACTTTCAACACGCACAGGCTGGATTTCCTCCAAGTCACGCATATCCGTGACTTTGATTTTGTGCGCATTCAGCACTGTACGGCACTGCACCTCATCCATGTCATCATCATCATCAGACGCATCAGACACCTCATCTCGGTGCTCAAGCTGCTCAAGCTGCTCCTGCTCCTGCTCCTTCGCCATCGAAGCACTCGACCGCCGAGCCTTACTCGAGCCGAAAAAGTTCAACTCCGCACCATCATCATCCGACTCGGCTGCCTCCGGCCCAGCCGTCCTCTTCCTCTTCTTCCCATGCCTCGCTTCTTCCAGAACCTTGTCGGCCTCCGAGCTACGGAAGAGCTGCGGGTTCGCCGCCTTGCCCGTGGACGGGAGACGGGTCGAGCTCTGCGCTGATGATGGGGCGGCGCCACCCTTCAGCTTCGTTGCCCTTGTCAGCAACTTGAAGGCGTCCATCTTCAACGCATAAGATGATAGATGCTTATGCGAATAGGTCGATGTACGCGATCGCGCCTGGTCTGAGCAAAGCTGTTCTTGTTGCGATGGTTGTCTGGTTCTCCGCGAACAAAAAAAAGTCCCGATGCAGAAATTCTTTCCCGCACGGACCAATCAGATGCGAGGAAGCGCTCGGTGTCCCGAATTTTTTTGAACATCCACATCACCATAAGAGGCCTACAACTAATATATGGATTCCTATTTTGATGTAGTGTACAAAGATGAATTTATATCTGTGAAGGACAGTAGTCTCTGGAATAGATTTGTTGCATTTACTGTCCCAGTAATCCTATCCTTCAGGGTGTCATATGTATGGGGAAACCAGGATTTTCGACGATGTGTTACAGGGTACCTTAGGAATGGATCAAGCAGTATTCAATGATAGAGTCTGTCTATATTCTCAGATCAAAATCAATATTTTCGAAGCGAAGTCACCCCGGTCAATAGCCAGTCGTCGCAACGGACCTCTTCATGGCCAAGTGCCCAACACATGGAACATGCCATGACTTCAGATGTTTTACCTCAGACAACAGCTTGAATTCCATCGTCTATCATACAATAGTACAGTGCACAGGAAGAACAAAGACAAGGGAAAGAAAACAGGCCAGGTATGATTGATTGAAATTGCTCTAGTGGTGGTCGCCGTGATCGGCGTGGCCCCTGTAGCCGACAATGTTCATTCTACCGATCATCTCGCCGACAGTGAAGAAACCGACAACCTCGGCGGCGGTAACGCCAGCGAAAGCAATCTCCTTCTTGTTGGCATTGCGAACCCGGGAAATGATGTTCTGGGGAGAGAAGTTCTTGAGGTTGGCGGGGTTGCGAGCAGCATTAACCAAAGGCTGGAAGTAAGCCTGGAAGGTAGCCAGGTTGCTAATATGGAAGTCAGTGGACTGCGTGTGCGCCTGGTGTCTTGCACGGTGCTGGATGTGCTTACGGAGGAGTCATGTTCTGGCCACGGAATACCAGCTTAGCGAGTTCGAGGCCAACCTTCGAGTAGTAGATAGTAGGGGGTATCAAAGCTATTGCAGGAGCACAAAAGTCAGCATTGAACGGCACGTGTCGAGCAGTATCAAGGGACGATGTTCCCCAAGCCATGGATCGGAATGATGGCCAAATCAGAGGTCAAGCACTCACGCCAATCACTCCATCATCAACGAAGAGGACAAAACAGGGCAGGAAAGGGAAAGAATTTGCTTACAGTCGACAAAGGCAATGACCTTCCCGGTTCTTCCACCGACCTTCCTAAGAGCGCTACCGAGACCCTGAGCAGCGTTTGAGATCGCAGGACCAGCCGTCGAAGTGACACGGGAGAGACCCTCGGAGGCCTTTGAGGCCGCAGAAGAGGCAGTCTGACTGGCCTTCGACGCGGCCTCAGAGGTGTTGGAGGCATATCTGACCGCAGTTCTGCGAGTCAGGAACTGCGATTGCCGCAGCACGGCACGGGAAGCCGTGACGGGCATTGTGATGGCGACTGGAAGGGAAAGACGGTAGAAAAAGAGAGACAACTTTTGAGGGTCACCGGCGAGGGACAAAGTAGTCCAATGGCGGGAGGTCAGTAGCCAGAAACACAGGATTGTCGCGCAATTGCAAAGACCGAAGACTGAGATTTGACGCTCGGGAACTTCAGGGAATGGAAAAAGGCCGCCGCTTTGGTGGTCACGTGACGATCGTGCACTTTCAAGATTTTGGCAACGTGACTTCCATTCATCCCTACTTCAAGCAACACCACGTATGGCATTTTGCCATGAAGGTTTAAAGGCTCTCATCGTTAAGAGGATGTAAATATCTACTTTAATGCCAGAAGGATCTTGGGGACATCCCTTTTGAGCCCTCGCTTGCATCCCCTCAATGGTTTCGTACTTACTGCTGAGAGATTCAGCATGAGATTATCCTCAGAAACAGGGGAGACTGTTGCTGTGCAAAAGTTACAGTTCGTGGGCTGAGTGTCTGAGAGATACCCAGACCCGATGAAGCTTGCAGCACAAGTTTAGCGAAACATAGAATCTTCTGACTTGTTGACTCAAGGATGTCTGATTGAATTACTGAACTTCTCTAGCCTTGGACTCGCGGAAGGGCTAGATATCCAGGTCTATCTCGGTCGTTGTCAGCCAAGATTGCAGGTGATCTTTTCTACGAAGCTCTGCATATGCTATCAGAAGAAATTTGCAATGAACTCTCTTAAACCTGACACAGTCTCTGGCCTTGAAGTTACGAGCTACGACTGAGACGTAAATCAAAGTGCAATACTTGGTGGTTCGCTTTGAGGTCTGTACTCTCTAGAGGCAAGTCGACTCACTGGCATAGCGCGACTGACACCGGTATTGACTTACGGAGGAGCAAGATTGTTTGCACGTCGTCACCTTGGTGCCAGACCCGTTCTCGAAATCGCTGGCACGACCAGAAACTGTCTATTTATTAACAGTCGAGTCCGTTTTGCGGCTGGTGAAGATTCTATTAACCATCCGCATGCTTAGCCTCGAGTGACTTGGAGTGTACCAATCACAAGTACCAGCACACCTGCAAGAAACGTCATACTATCACTATGAAGATCCACAAGCCTGCAAACAAATGCTCAGTTGGGATTGGGCAGATGGCGAGACGACGCGCCCAATGTCCATGTGAGAGGCGCGGGGTCCTCGGGTAAAGTAGCAAACGGCCCATGAGATTTACTTCTTCTATCCGGCTTGGAGTGGACACAAACAAGATAAGCTTCTTCTGGAAGATATAGAGGGTTTCGATATGCGGTTGGTGTCAATATCGGCTCTGTAGCTCACGTCTACTCGTCGGTTGACCAACACCTAGAGTGGGTCTCTGGCTCGCTGACAGACGTGTCACTTACAATGCTTAACGAGTCTCAGTCTGTTCTGCCCTGGTGTGCCAATCATCCTTGTAAGTATCTTAGTTCATATTCGATGTCCCGCTGCAGATTATTCATGAGAGTCTCAGCCGCTTGGTTCTGCAAGAGCGCGATGGGTAGGCCTCAGCACAACGAGGCAGATTTCATGCTGGTTCGGACCTTTGCACAGCTGTTTTGTGTGCGGCTTCTCATTTATTGGTTCCATCTACCAGGGCTGGCTTCCTTTTGCATGTCGAAGATGACGATCCACGTCTGGTCACGTCTCAATCCTGTCAAGTAAACCCTGGTCATGTGAAGATCTGAATCTTCCATACTGCATAGCTCAGAGCAAGGTATCACTTTTTTGGCATGCTCCAGTCCACCAAAGACATGAACCGTCGGAAAGTACGGAGTAGCCTGGCTTGAGTATCATTTCGATGATGTCGGTAAGAAACAGCCCGACGCGAATGATATTCTCCACCAAAGGATGACGAGCCCGCCGGAGAATTGCCACTCTGGGCCGCAGTCCACGGGACAGGAAGCGCATTTTGGGATGGACCAATGAAACACCGAGATTTTGAGGTTCTTGTGCGACTTTTGAATGTCGTGGTTTGTTCTTTCTATTTCTTTTTTTCTTTTTTTCTTTTTTGTTCCGTAGTTGTTGGCTTTCGTGGGTCATTGACGCTTTGAGATCCACCGGGAGGCTAAAATAACCTTTTGTAAATTAATTTAACCGAGTGGGCGTCTCAATGACAGTATTCAAGATCAGGAAGGTAAAACTGTGTTTCATGTCGACTGAAGATACCCTGAGACGAATATATTGAGTAGCCAACTATGGATACTGTTGCAGGACAAGCAGGATTCTCTCCATCGGGCTATTTCCCTCATGGATCAGGGTCATTGTATAGGTCTACCATACAGCAGTTGTCGCAAAGATCCTCCGGAACTAGGTAGCTTATATTACACACTATCTACTGCACTTGAGGCACAAGTATTCCGGGACAATTCCTTCCTTCCGGTGATGTCTCAATTTTCCGACACCATAGTGACCTACCCCAAAGCAGGCCTTTCAGCAGTACCATAGAGAGTAGAGAAAGGTACTCCAATTGCAGATGGATCTTGCGTCTGGTTTCAACCAATGAAGAGAGGTCCAGATGGAAAACCCCCGCGGACTGCGGGGACAAGTTGACAACAGGAACAAAAGACACCGGCTAAACGGACCATTCGATAGAGTCCGTTCCATCCATCCCACTCCCTGTCCCGCAGGAGGTTACAACACTCAGGAGCTGAGCTTCGATGCTGATTCCTGCTGGCCACCTATGGATCTTCGATAATCATAATCATGGAGGATTATCATTCGGCCAGCGGTAGCTGAATATCCGTCATGAATTTTTTGTACTCTTTTATTTCTTAGAGGGGCAACTCGAGTATTAAAGCTTGTTGGTCCCCCTACTACCCTCCCCTCTATCCCCTCCTTGCACAATCTTTCCCTCACTCTCTATACCCTTTGATTTCCTCTTGCTTGTCTTTTCCAGTCCTTCCACCACGAGTCGGATACCATGGCTACCGCAACCACAACTGTTCTTGAGAAGCCTAACATCGGCGTCTACACAAACCCCGCGCACGATCTGTGGATCGCGGACTCAACGCCAACGTTGGAAGATGTCAAGAGCGGCAACGGACTGAAGCCTGGTGAGGTTACAATTGAGGTTCGCAGCACAGGTATCTGCGGGTATGCTCTTCTTATTCCTTGTGTGCGTCCTGCTTCCTCAAGTCGTGCGCAGTCAGCTGACCAATGACTTTCGCAACACAAAGATCTGATGTACACTTCTGGCATGCGGGTTGCATTGGCCCAATGATCGTCGAGGGCGATCACATCCTGGGTCACGAGTCAGCTGGTCAAGTGATTTCGGTCGCCCCCGATGTTACAAGCCTCAAACCCGGCGATCGTGTTGCTATCGAGCCCAATATTCCTTGCCACGCCTGCGAACCCTGTCTGACTGGACGCTATAACGGCTGCTTGAATGTTGCCTTCCTATCCACACCCCCCGTTGACGGACTGCTACGACGCTATGTCAACCACCCCGCTGTCTGGTGCCACAAGATCGGCGACATGAGCTTCGAGGATGGAGCCTTGCTGGAACCCCTCAGTGTATCTCTTGCGGCAATTGAGCGCAGCGGACTCCGTCTGGGTGATCCGTGCTTGATTACGGGTGCTGGTCCCATTGGTCTGATCACTCTGCTCAGCGCGAAAGCTGCCGGTGCTACCCCGCTCGTCATTACGGATATTGACGAGGGACGTCTGGAGTTCGCCAAATCTCTTGTCCCCGAGGTGCGCACCTACAAGGTCCAGTTTGGTCTCTCTGCCGAGGACCAAGCCAATGCCATTGTCAATGTGTTCAACGACGGCCAAGGATCCGGTCCGGATGCCTTGCGGCCCCGTCTGGCGCTGGAATGCACAGGTGTAGAGAGCAGTGTGGCCTCCGCCATCTGGAGTGTCAAGTTCGGCGGCAAGGTCTTCGTCATCGGCGTCGGCAAGAACGAGATGACGATCCCGTTCATGCGCCTCAGCACACAAGAGATCGACCTGCAGTACCAGTACCGCTACTGCAACACCTGGCCTCGCGCCATTCGTTTGGTTCAGAACGGGGTGATCAATTTGAAGCGCCTGGTTACCCACCGGTTCGCGCTGGAGGATGCCCTCAAGGCGTTCGAGACGGCCGCGAACCCCAAGACTGGAGCAATCAAGGTCCAGATCATGAGCTCGGAGGAAGACGTCAAGGCTGCTTCGGCTGCTCAGTAGCCTGACTTGGACGTGTCCATACTGGTGGCGTTTTTGGGGTTGTTTTGTTGATTCTTTTTCGATGACACCGCACATACCTGTGATGTTCTTTGCATTGCGATGATGACCATGCCATGTACTGATGTTGATGATTGATATATGTGCATCCAGGCTGGAATATAGACATTTTGAAAGTTGTCAAAGTTTGGTTGACGTCGGGTGGCTCTTTGATAAATAATGCTCCTTTCTTCATATGCGGTAATGAGAGCAAGTAGGACAGCGAGGTAGCTCATGTTAAACAACTAGGCCATGTCTTGGCTCAGGCTGCCTGGGTCTAGAAGCCTTGGGTATAAGACGTTGGCTCTAATTGATCGACTTTAGAATATCCTGGAGACGCTCTGTGACCGTCAATAGATGAATCCAGAAGTCACATTCGAGGCCACTTGAAGACATGGTGAAACCAAAGATGCCTGTTACTATATAAACTAAAATTATAGCCACGGTCGAGGTCAGGGTCCATAGGCAATATATCGCTCCCTTCACGATTCCATTCTTGTACTGTTGATGTCAATGTGAGTAAGTACACAGTGGATACAAAACACCAAAAGTACATATTTGCCCTACAGATATCGGAGATTTTGCTTCCTACTCCCAGAAGAGAACATGTACATGCCACAAGGGCCAACAGGATAGAAATCAGGAGCGATGATGGGATCTATATACGCCCTTGAAATGAGTGCCCATGTAATCTTATGCGTTCATGTTGAGTCCATCTCGGCCTGCCTGTACTCCTCGTTGCAGTATCAGGGTCTAATCTCTCGATGATTTTGGCTGACTCGAATACGATCTCCGACGAAACCGTGCCATCACTAATGCGTACTACCCTGCTTAAGCGTTCAGAGCCCCGGCCTCGACCTGCCACCACGGCCATCACAGGCTTCATAGCGGGGAGACAAGCGGGGAAAGCTCCTCTTGGCAACTGGTGATTTGTTGCTCTCCACCAGTCAGCGTGCCTGTGTAGATGCTTGGCGAGACGACGATTTTGATGTCGGGCCGGCATCGATGGCCTTGAAGCTTCCAAATCATTTGCATTTTGCAGGTTGGGAGCTCCTCAGCCTCTCCACGTTGAGCTCGCACAACTTCGTTTGACTCAAAGCTAACATATATGAAGACATGAAATCATCAACACAATGACGCATGAACAAGTCTCAGGATCAACGCGGGTGCTAATAATAAGAATAACTACTGACTGGGTGCATGATCCCTACAATACGCCAATAGAGTGCATGCTATAGTGCATAATATTCACTATGTAGTTCCCATTCCAGGACAAGATCAGCATCATCTGCACCAGAAACGGACTGGTTGGATCCCCGATATTTGACCGACTGTCCAAGACCCTGCAAATGAAGTAATGCACTTGATGACCTTCGTGTTGCTCCATTTCTTCCCCGCTAATCGACCTCATTTTAAAAGAATCCAACTGAGCTCTCTTGCCCAGCCCCAAGCCGGCCAATTGCCGGGTACTTGTAGACTTTGGCCCAGGCGTAATCTCCGCGCAATCGTCCCGCGTACTTGGATCAGATTGATCTGATGTGTCTGCTGTTTGTCATACAGTGAGATGAACGCCCGCGCCACCGGCCGTGCTCCGGGAAAGTGTAAGATGCATCCGATGGAATGTTCTGCCGCTAAGGCGCACGTCAAACGCATATAAACCTGCGCTCCCTCATTCTCGATTCACTTCATCCTCAGTAACGATCTCAAGTCTCAACCTCAACATGTTGAGATCGCTGCTACTCCTTGCCCCCCTTGTGGGCGCTGCTGTGATCGGCGTCAGGGACAATACCCAGAAATGTCCTGGTTACAAGGCCACGAATATCAAGGAGGGCGGCAACTCATTGACGGCGGATTTGACCTTGGCCGGTAAACCGTGCAACACTTACGGCACCGACTTGAAGAACCTGAAACTTCTTGTGGAGTACCAGACTGGTAGGTTTTCAGCTTTGAACGGCAATGATTTGTAGCTTACTCCTTTCTAGATAAACGTCTGCATGTTAAGATCTATGACGCCGATGAGGAGGTTTACCAGGTCCCCGAGTCGGTTCTCCCTCGCGTGGATGGCAAAGGTGGATCGAGCAAGAAGTCGGCGCTCAAGTTCGACTATCAGGCGAATCCTTTCTCCTTCAAGGTCAAGAGAGGCGGCGAGGTGCTCTTCGACACCACCGGTTCGAACCTCATCTTCCAGTCGCAGTATCTGAACCTCCGCACCTGGTTGCCCGATGATCCTAATCTCTACGGTCTTGGAGAGCACACTGATTCTCTTCGCCTGGAGACCACCAACTACACGCGTACCATGTGGAACCGTGATGCTTATGCTATTCCTGAAAAGACCAACCTGTATGGTACTCATCCCGTGTACTATGACCACCGTGGCCACGGCACTCACGGTGTCTTCTTTCTGAACTCCAACGGCATGGACATCAAGATCGACAAGACCGAGGACGGCAAGCAGTACTTGGAGTACAACACTTTGGGGGGTGTCTTTGACTTTTACTTCTTCACCGGTGCTACCCCCAAGGACGCCAGCATCGAATATGCGAAAGTCGTCGGTCTTCCCGCTATGCAGTCCTACTGGGCGTTCGGTGTACGTTTCCTCTTTCGGTCTGCCGGTCATTTTGTCTAATTCTCTTCTAGTTCCACCAATGCAGATACGGCTATCGTGATGTCTTCGAGGTTGCTGAGGTTGTCTACAACTACACCCAGGCGAAGATTCCTTTAGAGACCATGTGGACCGACATTGACTACATGGACAGACGTCGGGTGTTCACACTTGACCCTGAGCGGTTCCCTCTTGAGAAGATGCGTGAGTTGGTGACATATCTTCATAGCCACAACCAGCACTACATCGTCATGGTTGACCCCGCCGTCAGCGTGAGCGGTAAGTTACCTTTCCAGTATGGAGGGGAATCATATTGACAAACGCCTAGACAATGGCGGCTACAACGATGGAATGGAGCAAGGCATTTTCCTGCAGACTCAAAACGGTAGCCTCTACGAGGGTAAGTCTCACGTCAAACGAACGACACCCAGACGACTAACCTATACAGGTGCCGTCTGGCCTGGTGTGACTGCGTATCCCGACTGGTTCCATCCTAACATCCAACAGTACTGGAACGACCAGTTTGGCAAGTTCTTCGACAGCAACACTGGCGTCGATATTGACGGTCTGTGGATCGATATGAACGAGGCCGCCAACTTCTGCCCTTATCCATGCAGCGATCCCGAGGCCTACTCGAAGGAGAACAACCTGCCTCCCGCCGCTCCCCCCGTTCGTCCCAGCAGCCCGCGCCCGTTGCCCGGATTCCCTGGTGATTTCCAGCCCTCGTCCTCGTCGAAGCGGTCCACCAAGGGATCCAAGGTTGGTCTGCCTAACCGTGACCTGATCAACCCTCCGTACATGATCCGCAATAAAGCCGGCTCCCTCAGCAACAAGACCATCAATACCGACATCATCCATGCCGGCGAGGGGTATGCCGAGTATGACACTCACAACCTTTATGGTACCAGTAAGTAGCGTCTCTCGGCTGGTGATGAGCCCAGTTAACATGTAACAGTGATGAGTTCTGCTTCTCGCAATGCCATGCAGCACCGACGCCCTGAGGTGCGGCCTTTGGTCATCACTCGTAGCACATATGCTGGTGCTGGCGCCCACGTTGGACACTGGTAGGGGCAATCCTTCTCAATCTGCGAATCTATACTAAATGGCAGCAGGCTTGGTGACAACATCTCCGAATGGAGCAAGTACCGCATCTCCATCGCGCAGATGCTTGCGTTTGCCTCGATGTTCCAGGTGCCCATGATCGGATCAGACGTGTGCGGGTTCGGCGGCAACACCACCGAGGAGCTCTGCGCTCGCTGGGCCCGTCTCGGAGCCTTCTACACCTTCTTCCGCAACCACAACGAAATCACCGGCATTCCGCAGGAGTTGTACCGCTGGCCCACCGTTGCCGAGTCCGCTCGCAAGGCCATCGACATCCGCTACAAGCTGCTTGACTACATCTACACGGCCTTCCACCGGCAGACCCAGACCGGCGAGCCCTTCCTGCAGCCCATGTTCTACCTCTATCCCAAGGACACGAACACCTTTAGCAATCAGCTGCAGTTCTTCTACGGCGACGCCATCCTGGTCAGCCCTGTGGCCGACGGGAGCCAGACCTCGGTCGACGCATACTTCCCCGACGACATCTACTACGACTGGCACACGGGCGCCGCGCTGCGCGGCCGCGGAGCCAACGTCACCCTCAGCAACATCGACGTGACCGAGATCCCCATCCACATCCGCGGCGGCAGCATCATCCCCATCCGGTCCGAGTCCGCCATGACCACCACCGAGCTGCGCAAGAAGGGCTTCGAGCTCATCATTGCCCCAGGTCTCGACGGCACCGCTTCGGGCAACCTGTACCTCGACGACGGCGACTCCATTGAGCAGCGCGCCACCCTCGAGCTGGACTTCACGTACCGCAAGGGCCGTCTCCGGGTCAAGGGCAAGTTCGTCCGCACGGACGTGAAGATCAACGCTGTCACCCTCCTTGGCCAGTCTGCGCCAGCCTCCAAGTCTGGAAGCCAGGCTTCCTTTGGCTCCGGCCGCCAGGCAGTCACCGTCAAGACGAGCTTGGATCTCACTGGTCCTTCCGAGCTCGATCTCAACTAGCATGTACAGACAGTGAATTCGTCTAGTACTTAATTGATCTCCGCAAGGGATAATAAATTAGTCCACTCATGTCTCATACTTGTAGTCCTTGACATAGCAACCCGTATGTCTTGGAGGCTACCACACTTTGACAACCACGTAAAACATGATTCACTTCCAGGAAGGAGAACGCGGATCATTATCTCGTGCCACACCTGCATAGATGACGATGATCCATACTTCATCCACGAGCCACATACCACGCCATCTCAAACAATGCAAGGGACCGGCCACATAACGCGTCCGCGTCAATCCATCCCTAGTACACTTTCATCTATTTCAACAGACTCAGCATCTTATCACCTGCACATCCCATCTTCATCAAGTCACAACCACAACCACAACCAGCAACCAGCATATCCAAAAAAACCACACCAACAGAAAATACCAACAGAAATACCAAAATGAAACTCCAATTAAACCCCACAACCCTCCTCCTCTCCACCCTGACGCTCACCTCCCAACTCGCCCGCGCCGATTTAAGCTACTACTGCGAAATGGCCACAGACGGCAGCAGAATGATCCAACAAGCGTACTGCTGCGACGATCTCGCTCCGGCGCGGTACGCCCCGAATTTCTTCCAGGGGGAGAAGTGTATGTCCTCATCCCAGCATTTCCCCCTGCAAATGGAATTGGAAATTGGGACCGGACTAACGGACTGATGTGTAGGTACGCTTGCGGATCCGAAGACGGTGGGGGATGCGTGTCCGAATGATGGGATGATGCCGGTTTGTTGTTATACGATTGTAAGCTTTGCCTCTGGAGTTGATTTGAGTGAGGGGGGTGGGCTGGGCCGGGCTAATGTGTGATAGTTGCAATTGTTTACTTGTACTTCGAATGGGTATATTCAGGATTTGTAGGGAAAGTGGGAGGGTATGGTGGCAGGGATGTGAATTGACTGGATATGAATTGTCTATCGCTGCTTAGCTCAATAGGGCTACTGATCTAGTACCTACTACAGACACAAGCAAGGTCTGGTACTTGTACTTGAACTGCTATGCTTTATCGTTGTCTTTCAGAACCTTCCAGCCTCTTTCATCCAGATCAGGATACCTGGTCAGGGCGTAAAAATCCAACCAGAATTCACGGGCATCGGCGTGACAAGGCATGTACTGTTGCAGCAAGGTCTTCCACTCTTTATCCCCCCTGCCCAAGCCGATTCCTGCGCACGTGTATTCCCACCAGACGGGAAAGTATCCCGAAGATTCCCAGTCGATTATGCCCGTAAGTTGGCCGTTTTTGACCATGATATTGACGTAGGTTAGGTCGCCGTGGGTGAACGTGTAGGGTGTTGCGGGGGGCATCCGTTCTCGAAGGCGCAAGCGAACGGCCTCGGGGACACCCTTCAACGCCATCGACATGTCCGCCCAGAGTTCTTCGTCAGATGAAAACGGGCCGTGAGGAAGACCGTAGCCGGTTGGGAAAAGAGAGGCAGAGTAAAGCGGTTGATCACGAAGGGCGTGCATCGTCTCAGACTGCAGCTTGCGAAGCTGCACCAGGTAATCGGCCGTCTGTTTTGCGATATTTTCTCTCTCGGATGCGGGCATGTTCTCCCAGACACTACTCAGAGGCACGCCAGGGACGCGGCTCATCAGCAGGAAGTAGCGTCCATTGTCCTCCGTCCAATCGTCAAGAACATCCGGTAGAGGAATAGAAGTCTCCTTGCGCAAGAATTTGAGATTTGCAGCTTCAAAATTGGGAGGACTGTTGGATCTCTCTTTCAGGATAAATTTCGACCCTAAGGACCACACGCCACGGTCGCTCATTTCGTAGAATAACTTCACGTGGCTTTCATATCGGCAGCCTTCCTGGCGCTCAAGGGTCCAGCTACACGCTGAGCAAGAGGCTGGAATGTCCATTTTGGATGCAGAAACTGCAGTGCTTGAGAAAAAGGCTGTAATTGAAAGCTGTCTGCGGTGTATGAGCAAACAAGAAGAATGAAAATACTTTTGTCCGATTTATACTGTGGAACGTAAGGGAAGGTCAGGCATATTTACATATAGCCTGCTCCTGCTCCAGCCCCCCAGGTGAGGGAGTGAGGGACTATGGAAGTATGACTAATCAGCGCCTCATTTGTGATTGTGAAATGATTCCACTTATTCTTTTTTTTATAAGCTTTATGTAAATAGTTATGCTTGAAACCTAATAAGGACAGACAAGTCTCCAAGTTCGATAGTTATCCGGACAAAAGAGTGACATAGAAACCTTGACAGTACACAAAAAGGAGTGTTTGGGGTCCCCTTTTCCCCCAGACTGGATAGACCAAAATCGCGACTACCTCGCCCCCTTGAATCGCAAAAGATGATTCACGACGAGTTCATCTGGTGACAGGAGCCTAGATATTGCCTTTCTGTGACCAGTAAGTTTACGAAAGATCGACTGAAAGTAGGTACCTAGCAGAGTCCATACCGTTGGCAAACTAGGACGATCCATGGCTCTGGGGAGCTCAGCTCCACAGTACTCGCAGTGGATCCTCTCAGTCATGTTGCCTTTGCCGCACTTAGGACAGTTCATCGTGAATAGGCTTTTGGTCAAAGTATAGGTATATATAACCTTGCAATGTGTTTAAATGAATTGAACGTTGACTGTGATTCAAACTGGGGGCTATCGACCCAGTACTTATATATCCCAAGGACAACCATCATTCAATGTCACTTGTTCGAGCAGCTTAAGGAGCTGATCAGCTTGCGTCTGATACTTATGCGACCTGAGCGCATCCTACATGTCGCTTGAGCCTTATGCTCTATCCTCTCTAGTTAGATAGACCAGGGATTTATCCTGATGGCGCATTTGAACTCGGAGCTAACAATGAGCCAGCCGGCGAAGACGAACATAATTGGTTCGCAACGAACCCCATCACTTAAGCTATGACCATCCCCTGTCCACAAATTTTCCAGCGAGATGAGGCGATCAGGGGGAACGAGACAAGGCGGAGGAGGAGGACGAGGCCGGACAAGAAATGATGGGGCGGGACGGGACGAGACGAGACGAGAGGCTCAATCCATCCATCATTTGGTCTCGTCCCGTGCAATATCATTGGAGTGCATTTCTCAGCCTTGTCCCTGCTTGGAAGTGCATCACTGGCTACTGATCTCCCCTTGGTATGCAGATACTTAGCCAATGCTATCTAAGTCCGCCCAATGGATCAGATCTGTCAGCGCTGCCTTGACACACTTTGCCAATCGGAGGGCTGAACTATACTCCTAAATACAAAGTACCCCCAGAAACCATCACGTGTAGCGAAAGATAAGATGGAGCCATGTCCCCTGCAAGCTCGCACTGTCCCGTCTCGTCCTGTCCCGCTCCTCCTGTCGTTCCCAATCTCCAGACAACGAAAACCCGTTGTTGATCCACCAGGAAGATGGAGGAGAGCCAAAAACTGCTCGATTACGAGGTTAGGCCACGTCTCGAAGGCCAGATGCTAAGAATACATGATCCGCTCACCGACAACCAACAAGAGCAGGTCCATTCGTGGATTGAACTTCTTGCAGAAACCGAACAGTCACTTCAGGCGAGATCTAAACAACGACGAAGTGTTAGACGCCGTGCACGTTACTTTGCCATGAGGGTGCTTTCAATTGCTCAAGACCTATTCATACTAACTTCTCTTTCTTATTTCATTTCTAATTTGCCCCCCATTCCGGCGGATGCGCTTTTCTACGATCGACTTGAGCAATGGTGGGGATCAAAGGAGACTCCGAGGCCTCTCAGAAAAGTCACGGGCAGACTTTGTCAGAATTTACCGCGAAACATAACTGACGATCGTGTGGCTCATGCTCGATCTTCTTCATGGATGATGTCAACGGAGGAGTCTTCTAAGGCTCCGGAGACAGAACGTCTCGGCGGCCAAAACTTGTCAGCCAGAGCGCAGAGGGATAGGTTGTCTTTGGAAGGTTCGTTAGACCATCCACATCCCTCGGTCATCTACATCATTTCATGCTAACTCATGATATGCCCAGAGCATGATCGGAATTCAACGCAGATACATTCTTCGAGCCAGGAAGAAGCTTCAGTGCACACAACTCGGCGAACATCCAAGCACACCAAGTCAAGATATGGTGACATCGACATATCAGGCAGGTCGACTAAACGCCCACGGCGAGAGTCAGAGATTCCGGGTGCGTTATACTGAGCGTTCAAATATGAAGTGAGACTCATAATATTCAGGGCATCCGGCGACTTCCGTGGACAGTCCGTACTTGTCGTTCTCATTTATGAGGCGCCACATGATCGAAAAGCTTCCCGAACCGTTCCAGACAGGAATCCGTACAAGTAGACTTTGGAGGGACGAAAGGGAAACAGGGGGCCTGCAAGTCACCAATTGCTTGTCTCTCTATTTACCAGAAAGGGTTAACGAAGACACTTTCTTAGTTATCAGGATGGGCTACTGGGACGGGTTTAATGTCTCCAACATCTTAGGTCTAGGAGATCCAGAAGGGTTGAATGACGTGTAGACCAACGAAAGAGAAGGGTAGCCCCAAAATTGAAAAGAAAGAAGTCACTCACGTTTAGACGCTATGAGGTCCTTTTCTCAAACATCACACGTGCTAGCATCACATAGCACCTGTAGCCAGGAAACACATCTTTCTTGGTCAAACCATCGCTTTGGCCAAGCTCGCCGTGGGGGATAGGGTTTCCCTGGCTGTCTGTGATGTTACACGATCGCCCTTCGAAATGCATCACCATATCTTCCTTTATCTCAAAGCATTTATTTGATATCCTCTCCCATTCTCCATTGAGTGCTTTTTCCCCCACTTCATCGGACATCTCTTTCTTGGCGAACACTATGCAACGGCTCAGATTCAAGAGTGTAGAGTATGCTGTCTCAAAAGGTTCCTAACCGGCGAGGTGTCAGCTATCTACGGCATACGGAGGCGCATGTAACGGACTCACTGATCCTGGAGCAACAAGTGTTCAGCATTGGAAGTTTTTGCACTCGCTAGCGAGCACCCAAACTCGGAGATGTCATTAGAGACGTGGGGACAAAAAATGGTTGATGAGGCTTGCGATAAGCTACCTAAGCTGTTTCATGCCCGACCCCCACTTGGCCGGAACTTCATGCAGAATAGATTTTCCGATCAGACTACAATTGCGGAACGGGACGGGATGGGGCACTCATAAACCCTGACAACTGACATCCATTTTGGTTGCAGGATTGCAAAATAGCTGAATGTCCTTGGACCTTGGGTTTAGCAAAAGAGGTCATTACTCTTACTCTGTTGTAATGTCTGCTAACCAGTTTTTGTTTTTCGGCTAAGTACGACTGCGCCACTTGAGAAACTGAGCTCGAAGGGGACCATCACTGAGGACCCCACCATAAGTAGTGAGGAATCAGATGACCAAAGTGTGGGCAAGCAGAGCGACTTCCAAATGTGATAGTCCTGGGGGCCGTCAAGTTTGGCAGTGACCAGAGCGCCACGGTTGAATCCACCACATGGGAAATCCACTCCCAGTCAAGGAAGGAGTTCCGAGGATGCGCCTACCTATGCCACTGGCACATAAGTGACAACACAAGGTTGCATGATTGTTGGATCCAACTCCAGTCAAGATCTGTGGTTGGACTAGATCAAACTGCGCTGTGTGGACAAGGCATCATCATGTTCAAAGTTGTCATTCTATGGTATCTGATAAGAAAATTAACAATATCTACAGCCTATGTGGTGTGAATTATAACCATGAGAGCAGGTAGAATAACAGGTACACAGCATTCCCCCACTCATTCCCGGAAGGACTTTGGAGGAATCATCCACGAGATACGCCCTTCTCTATTAAACATGAAATCCTTCTGTCTTCTATCCACCCCTTCAACTCGAAGTGAGGTGTTCCGCCCTGCTTCCCAAACTGCTGCCTCTACAGCGACATCAATAGTGCTTACCCACCCCTTTTCCCAGCCCGTGTGATACACACTCGTGGGCTTTTCCCATCGCCAAACACTGTCTTCATCTGCAAACAGCGTGTCTGCAGTACTTCCAATTACCTGTGCACAGCACAGCAGCACTTCTGTGTCCATATCAAAAGACACGTCTTCTGTATCCTCTGGTGGTATTGCTGATTTTTCAATTTGCTCCTCTAACCTTCTCACTAGTTGGAGAATTGCTGCCTGATGACTCTCAGCATCATCACCTGCCGGGCAAAGTGCAACAGGTGTCTCCTGGATTAATAAAGACAGATAGTCATGTATCTCCTGCGGGGAGGATTGAGATTGAGGCAGTTTAAGACGGCTCAGCTCGCGGAACCCTTCAACGTAGCTGAGACTATCTACAGATAATCCAGTCTGGATCATTACAGACCGGCTCCGAGCTTGGACAGGATGGTCCCAGTGGTGTATCGTGCAGTTCTCAGTAGGCTGTTGCTGGCCTGAGGTTGGGGTGGTGATCAGGACAGTGTGGAGGAAGGTTGATAGGTTCTCTTCTGGAAATACGGGAGGTTCAGTCAAGAATTTCTAAGCAACCGGAAGACAGGCAGAAGGATGCAAAATCACAATATTGCTGATAGTGCATACCACAATGATTCCGCGCCCTTTGCGCCCTTGAGCAGGCCTTTCATTATCAGCAGACGCCATGGTGTTCCGAAACAGCTATTAGTTTGAGGATTTTCAAGATGCAAGGCATATACTGATAAAGTGATTGCAGTATAGGAGGATGGTTTATGTGGGCTGTCTTAGTCTAGTTAATAGTGAAGCTTGTGATTCATGAGGAAACAATGTTATATATTATGGTTCTGCGGGGGAGTAGCCCTTTATTGCTAATGTGTCCACCAATTACATAACTAAAAGCTTGGTCTAATGCAAAGGCCTGATACCCCTCAGCCATGCTTAAGCTAGAGTGCATTTACAGAGTAGGCAACAGTGCTTCCTGCTCTCTTTTAGTCAAAGCTCCGCAGCCGCGATTTGATTCTACAGATGATGAATATCCGCATCCTTGAAGATATATAGCATAGACAGATCCTAATACTTGGTACTACAACTTAGCTAGCAAGTTTGTAACCTCCAGCTCCATATTGAGACCCTTCCCCCCAACACAATCCCACTTTTTTTTTTTGGCTTTCACTGAGGTGAGCTGTGAAAAGGGTCTAACAGCAACTAGGATAATACAAAATGTCCGATAAAGGCGAACCCGAACAAGCCAAAGACGCAACTGTTGGCCTGAAGTCAGATTTGAAGACTCTCCGACAACTGACCTCCTCATCCGAAGCTGCCAAGAAGCATCGAGAAGCTTCTAAAGATGAAAGAGCAAAGCGCAACTTGGAGGAAGCGGTTGAGAGAACCTTAAGACAGCAAGACGAAGGACCCAGGTACAACTCTAGGAAATGAGATGCTAGAGACTGATCATTCGGTGGTAGTATCGCCTTCAAAGGCTTGCTGTAGTCGGATGTCATACTCTTTCCTGTCTGATAGTTTACTAGCTGCAACCTTGACCCAGTCCTGCGCCCAATACCATGGCATAACCTGTTGGAAAGTATCATGCTCAGGACAATTCTCGATGAATCTGGGCTGAATTTGCTTGTAAAAGACCGCAAAGAGACCGGTAGGGCTGGCGAGTGCAAGTGTATACCAGAATGTTCCCACCCTCCAGTTCTCTTCCATAATAGCTGACAGTTGCGGGCTTCCATGATTGCTGGCCAAAGTCCTGCTGAGCCTTTGTTCTTCAGCGACCAAGATATCCATGAACTCCCTGCGCATCATGTCATACTCCGCCGGCTCTTCAGCGATCTCATCCACGGCTTTGTTCGTGAGCCAGGTCGGAGTTCGAAGCATCTCAATTGGTCGAGTACATGCCCATTCAAGATCCACCAAAGAGGTGATGTGCCAGTCTTCATCAACAAAGATATTGCTTTGGTGAAAATCCGTAAATGTAAAAGCAAAAGGGCCACGCCGGAGTTCCGGGTTGAAAAAAGATAGAAAGACTGTTCGCATTGCCGCCAACGCTGATGTCTGGTAGATATAGTCCCCTGTATCGTTAATTGCATTTGGCTGATGTCGAAGTCGACTGTCATGGATGCGAAGGATATCGGTCACATACGAATCAACCGTGGAATAAGTGTAGTCTCTCGGTATATTTGTCGGAATCTCCTCGTTTTCCAACTCCTGAATTTCGAGTGAAAGTGGGCGATTTGTCAAGCATAAGAATCCATTATGGTCAATCACAAAAGAGCCAATCTTTGGTAAGGGAATCCTTGTGACACTCAGTATAATCCGAGACAGATCACGAAAGAAATTGGTTCTCAGCCTAATATCATGCTGCTTCTCGGGCCAAGTATTCGAGAGCATTTCTCCTTGTTCTTCTTCGATGTACTCTATTAACAAGTAGCCAACGCCCACCACTCTGTCACTAGATATGTGGCTCGAAGTTTGGTGACGAACAAACTGTGTAGGGACAGGACGACCAAACCATGATAGAAGCCGACGACGCATGTAATGAAAGCAGCGGGTGAGAAACGGTAGGTTTTGCAATCGAGTAAACTGAGAAGACCATTCTAAGTCAGCTCACACGGAACATTAGTTGCGGTTAAAAACCATACAGTTTCACCAGTAGATGTAGAAAAGCCGTATAGCTTCGGTATAGGGACATCTGGGCAGTTCTCTTGAAGCCACGCATAGGCTCCCGCCTCACATCGGATCTTTTCGTCCCCATTTCCAGGTCGAAAGGCATCACCGACCCGATACGGAAGAGGGAACCGAAGCAAAACGCGTCCGCCAGGCTGCTGTTTCCGTTTCCACCCGCCAACAACGACTGGGACACATAGATTGAAGCTTCCATGGTGCCAGTTCTCAACATCATCCATACAGCAGGAGTTGGGAGACCCTAGGTTAAGGTGATGAGCAACTATGGCTTCGATCCAGTTCCTTTTCTCATAAACATGTGCAAAGAATTTACGTCTTTCATCATGGTATCTTAATCGATGGAGAATGTTCACCTCTTCTCTTTGAGCAGTTGAGTATGTGATTTCCCCGCGAAGAAGAGGGCGCGTCTTCGGCATGTTGAGGAAAGAGGGGGCGTCACGTAATGCAACTCAGGCAGGTTTGAAGCATCACAGCTTGCGTCCTCTGTTCTTCATGACTGAGGACTCTTTCCTTTGCGTGACCTTGTTTCTACACCGCCTGGCAGATAGAAAATAAGGTAGCTAGGTAGCTGTTCAGGGGGAAACATTTTGGCCAGTCAGCATTTTGGCGCTATCCCTTGACAAGGGGCGGGCGTTTCTTTTTCTGGACAATACCCCACAAAGTAGGCATTTTACAAATGAGAACCTAAATCAGCCATGGATGATGGGACCCATTGTTTCCCGCCATCCTCGGCTTCTTCATGTCCACGATGGCTATCGCACTCGTCATGGGATTCAATGGCGCCGGTGACTAGAGGAAAAGGTGGAATCAGACGGCAACATACTCGATGGCTGGCGAGATACATTACCTGTGTTCTAGTCTCGTGTCGCCGCATTCCAGTGTGGTATTTAATTTTGATTTGTTCCTAAATTCCGAATGCCAAGATTAGTGATTACCATAGCCTCTTGTAATATGATAAACCCCCCATTCAGATCTACTTGCATATACATTTGATCCTTTGATCATCTGTTAGGACACATTTATGAGTATAAATACTGTAATCTGTGTAGCATCCTACACCCGTTAAATTCAACAAAGTCAAGTACTTAGGTTAATTGAAGCTTTGTATGTAGTATGTAGTCACTAGAGTCTGGATAAAACAGAGATATGAGTGAGTGTTGGGCATCCATTCTCTGACAAAGAGAAGTCAATCAATGGCCAAACATTCGAAGTTCTTGGATTGTTTTCAAATGTTTCTTTTCACTTATGGGTGCCATAGATACCGACTCCTTCTTTCAACCCAAAGTGCCCTAACTTCCTGGACAAGTCCTGCATCATTTTCTCACAAGCTGCAATGCATGAAGACAGGGCCGAGTTGCTTGCAAAGCCGTCCTTTGGCATTATTGCCCTTGAGAAATCCGTCAACCTTCGAAAGGGGATTGCAGTGTCTCTAATTTAGTGATCAGCAAAAGTGGAGATTCGGAAATCCCCCATCGCCATCTGCCGACATCTCGGCAAATCCATCCACTACAATTAAGGACAGAAGGAGACTAACCCACACACCGGATGACCGGATGACCGGCTAAACGGACTCTAACCGAGATTATGACGGTCTCTTTCCGTTCTTGTGATGGGAAAAATATAGGCAACTGCAAATACATCAAGTCGTAAGTCGTATATCGTATCGCCCTATCCATGCACACACATCAACTCCTCCGCGTTCGATTTGAACACCCGCTCGGTAAGTCCAGTCTCTCTAGCACATAACCGCAGGCACAGCTCTGTAAACGGCCCAACGTCAACACCATGAAACCGCGTATGCGGCCAGTCTGTCGCGTAGATTACCCGCCTCGGAGCCCTGCGTAAAAGTTCCCGCGTGATAGCCCCAAGGTCGCGCAGTTGTTTGTCCTTGCTGAGGCGGTACGGGGCCGAGATTTTGACGTAGGTCTGCCCCGCTTGAAGGAGGGAGATAAGCGTCGAAAAGCCTGGGAGGGTGTATGGGTTGAATTGACTATTGGCGATGATCGAGGGTGGAGGGAGTTGAGGAGACCCGAAGTGGTCGATGCAGATTTTGACTCCAAGGGACGGAACGATCCGCTCGAGCATGGGCATCATGTGCAGAGGCAAGTAAAGCTGGATCATCCAGCCGAGGGGACGGATGGGCTCTGCGTGTTGCAAGAGGGTCTCGGCTAGCTCGGACTCGGAGAGGACTTTTCCTACTGATTTGAGGTTTACTCGGACGCCCCGCACGCCTAGTGTATGCCATGTGGAGAGAGTCGTGGGACAGGTCGTGGCCGGGTCGATGACAACCACTCCTCGCCCGTGAGACGGGCCGATGCGTTCCAGGGCTTCGAGGAGACATGAATTGTCGGTACCGTAAATGGATGGTTGGACGAGAACGACGTTCTCGATCCCCAATGTAGATTCAAAGGCAAGCGCTTCCTCAAGGGTGTGAGAGGAGGGTATGTATGCTGCGCCTAGGGAGACCGGGTACCGACTCGGTTCCACGACGTGCATGTGGCTATCCCATGATCCCCGGGGGATACGGTGCTTGAGGGGGATGGGATGTGTGATTTGGTCATCTTTGATGATTGGCTTGGCCTTCCTAGCAGCCAGGTAAATTGAGGCTCGGGGTGAGCTGTCCACAATGCATTGCCTAGACTGGAGGGGAATGAGTATGGTTGACATGATCGGATGTCAGGTACTCCAGCGAGTAGATGCTGACGAGTGTGAACTTACAAGTGTTAAAAGTCGAGATTTCCGGACTGGTCGTCTCAGCAGATCAACGCGTAGGACTGTCATCGCGGAAACCAGCTTCGAGAATCCACGCAGTGTGCCACCTCAGCAAGGAATGTGGCTAGAATCATAAACATGAGAACTGTCCCACTCCCGTCTGCTTTACCAAAGATGCATGGTTATTAGAGAGGATAGAGAGGAAGGGGAAAAGAAAGAATTTAAAAGGTAGAAAGGCACACAATTCGCGTCAGTGCTGTGCAACACATGGAGCGGAAGGTGTCCGTGTCTGTGAATCAAGGGCTCAGCACTTCATATCGCATTCCTTGGATCCTTCCATTGACCGATGATCCATCGCCCATTCGACAGTTCCATTCAGGATAAATTCGGTGTAGCGGAGACTAGAGTGGATTGCCAGCGGATCCATCCACCAGATCTGCCAGCCCTGCCAGGCCCAACCACTGCTAAAATCGGAGGGTTCCGACGATTGATGAATTTCGAAGACTCTCCTCTTCATCAATCAATCCTGCTGATGCCATAGTGTTCTCAAGAACTGAATCAGAACCATCACACAGACGTACTATCCCTGTAAATGATGCTGCCTGCATGGGACACTACGTATCATGATTCATGAATAAGATCGGAAGTTGGCCGAGACAATAGCCGTGTCATGTGCTTTTCCGCCCCCTGCAAAATTATCCCAGGTTTTGCGGGAGATACCGACCTCACTCTTCCAGAACGAGGCCTCGGTGGATATCCGTTCATCTGATTGTCCAAATTATACCAATCAATTGGTAAATTCCAGCAAGGGATCACCCCCCGCGCGGAGCTTGAATCAGTACTTGCTCTATTATGTCCTTCCCCGCATGTCATTGAACGTTCCATCGCCATCATGGGGCTGGCGATTGACTGGTCTCGGTGGACCACCAGTCCTTATTACGCCGTCGTCATTCTGATTATTGCCTGCGGGAGTATTCCGAAAGGTATGCGCGTCTTTAATTTCTCCACCAATTCGTGCGCTGACCCTGGATGTCGTGTTAATCGGCAGGTTACGATGAAGGTGGCTTTAGCGCCAGTGTCAATTTAGAGTCGTTTGTGAACGATTTCAATCTCGCGGCTTCTGAATGGACGAACAACAAGACGGAGTTGGCCAACCGGAAGGCCAACATTACCTCGTTCAACGTTTTGGGTGCTGCGTTTGGTGCCCTGCTCGCATTGGACTTGAACGATCGTCTGGGCCGCCTGCGCTCGTGGCAATTAGCTTGTCTGATTTGGGCGGCCGGTCTCTTCGTTCAGGTCTTCTCCTCCGGTATATATGGTTTGATTCTTGCGGCGAGGCTGTGCAGTGGACTAGGGGCCGGAATGCTCACAGTTAGCACGCCGTTGTATTTGTCCGAAATTGGTATGGGTTGCGCGATCTGGACACGATTGGCTGAGACAGAATGCTGACAATCGGTTAGCGCCGACAAGAACTAGAGGTTTGGTGGTTAGTATCTACATGGTTGTATTGTTGACTGTGTTGGCATTGGGTTGGTCATCAGTTTCCAAATGCTTATCTGTCCTACAAAGCTGACCTTGTCAAAAAGGTTTCTTCATCAATTATGCCGCCAGTCTGCATATGGCCCCAACGCGGACTCAGTACCGTCTCGTGCAATCCATTCCATTAATACCAGTCGGGATTGCGTTCTTTGCGTCCTTCATCGCACCCGAAACGCCTCGCTACTTGGTCTCAAGGCACCGGCATGACGAAGGTCGATCCGTCCTCGCTCGTCTGCGCGGCAAGGAGATCTCCGACCCAGCGATCGAAGACGAATTCAACAGCATCGATGCGCAAGTGCGGACCAAGGCGATGGATCTGGCGTCCGTAACCCATTGGGAAGCTTTCAAAGAGACCCAACTCAACCCTAACTACCGGCAGCGATTCTGGCTGCTGATCGCCATGCAAACCATTTCCCAGTGGACCGGCGGCAATGGCATAACCTACTACGTCGCCACCATCTTCCAGTACGCCGGGATCGACGGCAACGCGCGCTCGCTCGTCTCCTCAGGCGCCTACGGGATCGTCAAGCTGGTCTTCACCATGGCCTTCACCTGGGGGCTGATCGACTACCTCGGCCGCCGGCGGTGCGCTCTCGCGGGCCTCAGCCTCCAGCTCGCCGCCCACATCTACATGGGAGCATACATGGGCCTGCAGCCGGGCTCGAGCACCAACCGCTCCGCCTCCGACGCGGCCATCGCCTCCGTCTTCGTCTACGCCGTCGGCTGGTCCATCGGCCTATGCACCATCCCATACCTCTACGGCACGGAGATCTTCCCCACCCGCATCCGCAACGTCAGCTACGCGATCAGCATGTCATTGCACTGGTTCTTCCAGTTCGCCGTCGTCCGCGTCACTCCAAACATGTTCGTCTCCCTCGATGTCTGGGGCGCCTACCTCTTCTGGGCGATCATTTGCTTCTCGGGGCTCGTCATCTTGGGCATCTGGATGCCTGAGACGAAGGGTGTGCCTATTGAGCGGATGGGTGATCTCTTCGAGGGACCTTGGTACTTGCGCTGGCGCGCGAAGCCAAGACCGGTCAGTTCCTCTTTACCCTCTCCGGCTGGAATCGACGCGGGCGTTGATCCTGGTGAGAAGAGGCCGGGCTGGGGGAATGTATCAGTTTGAGCTACTATCCTCAAACGTTGAGTTCCTGTTTATGCTAGG